CCTCGGAATAAATATTGAATAGGAGTGGGGATAAGATACACCCCTGACAGACACCTCTTTTGATCTGCACACTTCCAGTGAGTTCGTTGCAAATTTTTGCTCTTGCTATTTGACCCCAGTATAGGTTTGCCACAATTCGAATATCCTTGTCGTCAATACCTATCTTTCGCAGAATATCTATCAATTGTTCATTGTCAAATGCTTTTCTAAAATCCACAAAGCACAAATACACGTCCTTATCAACATCTCTACATCCCTGTATAAGCACCTGGAGAGCGAAAACTGCTTCTCTAGTTCCAAGTGCTTCCCGAAAACTAAACTGAGATCTATCAATATTTGACTCACATTTATCATTATATTCTTTTATGAATGATCTTAGTGAACGTTTTAGAGACAAGATTGATCAAGCGTATAACCCGTTAGTCATTACCGATCTGGGCATTTGGTTTCTTTGGAATTTGGTAATAAATGTTGACTGCAGCCAGTTCTCCGGGATTTTGCCGCTATTATATATGTTGTTAAAAAGTACAACTAGATTATCAAGGAATTGTTTGTCTGATTTACATAGGATCTTTAATATTTCGCAAGGTACATTGTCCGAACCTGCTGACTTTTGTTTTTTAGTGCTGCAATGGAATTGCACGTCCGTTTATCCTTCTCCATATAGGTGATTATCAGTCCTGTCAGATGCAAATAATTTTTCTAAGTATGATTTCCATGTTGTCAAAATCGTTGATGGCTCCGAGATAAGATTTCCATCGCTATCGTTTATACTAATGGGTGACTTATTGAATTTTCTCTTGTTTCTCATTGACTTTATTTTTTCCCAACATTCCCATACAAAATTGTAATAATAACGTATTTATATTAACTCAGTCTATAAGTGATCAATCTACTGTATATAAATTTTTTTTTTTCTTAAAATTTTTTGTACCTTTCCCGATCTCCCCTTCTATTCCAAAATTATACAGAAAACGCGTAAAAAACTTTTGTGTCTGCCAAGTTTTCAAGACAAATTCCCCTCTTTCTTGCCGTTTATCTTTTGCTGCTGGGTCCGTTGAATAAACTTATAAAAGAGTTACTCACAAATGACACGTTTCAAACCTCGAAGATAAATAGTTTTTCCAACATGGCGTTTGAGATAAAGTGCTGTAAGTAGTGTAAGGAGACGTGCGATGAAAATATAATGTTTCTTAGAGCAATCCAGGTTGAAAACTTAAAAAGCTCGACTAATTTTAACAGGTGCTGTGACTAAAATATGGTAAAAATAAATCAAAAATATTTAATGATCGTAGAAAAACTACTTTATAATATCAAATAATAATTCTCATATATAAAATATATTGTAAATGTACTGTCGAAAAACTCCACTGCAGCTTTATTAAAAAAAATAAACTATCGATTTTTCTATTTCACAAAATATATCGATGGAAATACATTTTAATTATAAAGTTAGCTGTTTATTTATTTTTGTTTGCTGTATGTTTTAAAGTGTGATTATGTTCCAAGACTAAACAATGAGAACTGAATGACAAAGCTTTATTTTATAATTTGAATCAACAAAATATTTTTATAGACATTTGAATCGCTTGGCTATTTTTTAAAATGTAGATTTTGCGTTCTCTATTCCACATTTAATTTCTAAAAAATGGTCCAAATTTTTTTTACAATCGTACCAAAGTAGGTGTATGTTTTTACTTCCTTTATTAGTTGACCATTCACACAGCTTCGTTCAAATTGCTGTTCCATAAAAATTGCTGTTTTACATTAGTGTCATGTATGTCACAATATGTGCATTTTTTTTTTTCGTTTTTAATCAATGTTCGTTAATTCAAAGGCGCTCTATCAATTGGTGAAAAACAAGGCAGCTCCGGTAACTCATAATGAATATTCAGATGTCCCTTATTGGATTCAGTGCAAAAAAGAGAAAACTCTGAGCTGCTTCGTTTTTGCATGGAATAAATAATTCATATTTTAGCTGTTTCGATGCAGCATCTTGTGGAAAGACAACATGTGGAAGACGCTGCCGTGGCCTCATTGCCGAGATGCCGCATTTAGTAGGTTGTTATTCGTCTTTAATTAAAGTCAGTATTTTTGTCCAGGTGACTCCAGATCAAGTCATAGACGATTTTCTGTGATTAATTTAAGTGCTAAAATTTAATTACTGGAACAAAGTGATTCTGAAAGTTATGACGGTGAACAGAAACAAATGGTTTATAAAAACAAGTAGCCAAGAAGCGAGCAAGACATGTAAGCGGAATAAAAATCTTTCTAAGAAAAAGAAATTGTTAATTAATCATCCCAAATTTTGGCATATGCAGATAATGTGGACCTAGTTGCCCACACAACACGCAAGCTAGAAGAAATGTGTAGCACCTTCTCAAATGCCTCAAAATCTATGGGCCTGCAAGTAAATGAGGAGAAAACTAAGATGATGGCATCAACACCCAACAATAGAGTCAGGAACATCGGTCCCCAATTCACGGTTGATAACTCTACTTTTGAAGTGGTGTGGACAAATTCACATACTTAGGCTCCCTGATCACCAAAGAGAACGCCATAACGGAAGAAATCAAGCGAAGAATAATAATGGCAAACAGATGCTATTTTGGACTGAGTAGACATATGAGAAGTAGAAACTTAAGCCAAAAAACAAAAATAACTATATACAAAACCCTTATATAGCCAGTGTTGAGATATGGATCGGAGACATGGATTATCTCCAAGGCAGAAGAAGACCTGCTTATATTTGAACGAAGGATCCTGAGAGGAATATTTGGTGGCATCTGTGAAAATGGTGTTTGGAGGAGGAAATACAACTACGAGGTATACCACAGATATAAACAAATATTTGGTGGTAAAGACGTAGTATCTCTTATAAGAATAGGAAGACTAAGATGGGCAGGACATCTAGCAAGATCACAGCAGAACAACCCTCCTAGAAGAATCCTTTTGTCACAACCCGTGGGAAGCAGAAAAAGGGGTAGGCCAAAACTCAGATGGAAGGATGGTGTAGATGAGGATGGTAGAAAGACAGGCGCAGCAAACTGGCAACGGTTGGCAATGGATAGGACTGCCTGGCGTAATAGACTTGGGAAGGTCGAGGCTCTTTCATAGGGCTGTAGCACCATTGATGATGATGATGAAGAAAAAGAAAGTTAAGCGAAAATCTTATCGGCATTAAAAATAAAAATAAATGTCTGAAAGTTGATAAAAAAACTGGCAAAAACTGTAATTGTAAATTTAATTGTTTTCAAAAAATTAACGAGGTTTCTAAGCCAGACACTTTGGTTGGCAATATTCAATGATATTGCTAACAAAGAAAAACAGGGCATATTTATTGGGATGCAAATAGTTATAAAAAGTTTGCCAGATCGGCACTTAAGGTGGGTGTAGGACTAAAACGTTCTTGTTCCTGTAAATAAAATGTAAAACTCGGCACAACTTTAAACAAGATTTGTAGAAATGGTTTTTATTCATTATATGGCCTTAGTAAGAAAATAGTAGAACTTATTATCAAGCACTTAAAAGATAATATACTAGTACCAAATGATATGCGTGGAAACCACCAAAAGATATCGATTCGCAAATACAATCATTTCTCAGAAGATAGTCGCACTATAGCCGCACTAAAATTGAAAACAAGTTTTATTTGTCACCTAAGCTAAATATTCTGTATTTCAAATTATAAGTCACGGTCTAACCCTTACCAGACTTGCAACAGATTGGACAAACTCATATTAACAGAAACAGTAGATAAGTAAAAATGAATCTAGTACCTAAAAACACGCTGTACGAGAAAAAGGCAAATTATTTTAACATTACAAGAAAAGAGGAATTTTAAAGGATATCGTGGAGGATTTTTAAAGTAATAGCCTTGTTAAAACCAGGAATTGACACAGAAAACCCCAGTAGCTACAGATTTATTTCTCTATTGTGTCACTTTTTCAAACTAAACGAGAGACTGATACTCGCCAGAATAGAAAAAAAAAAATGTCGACAATCACCTTATTGCACAACAAGGAGGATTCAGACCCGGCAAATCTTGCACCGGTCAATTCTTCGCACTAACAGAACACATTAAAGAGGGCTTTGAAGAAAAACTTATAACAGGGGCTGCTTTTATAGATCTGACAGCAGCCTATGACACAGTAAGGCACAAAACATTGCTCCGCAAATTATACGACACTCTCAACGCAAAATAGACTTTTTTGGTTATGCTGGAGGGTAAAGTAAGTAGGAAGAGAGTTCAAAAATACGGCCTCTCATAGGGAAGTGTTTTAGCACCAATGCTCTTCAATATATAAACAAACGACCAACCTACTCCGACCGAAACCACGCACTTCCTCTATACTGACGATCTTGCAATATGTGCTCAAGGAAACAGTTTTAAAGAAGTGGAGGAGAAACTCGAAACTGCCTTAAAAACAATGACAGCGTACTACCTGCAGAATTCTCTGAGACCCAATCCCTCTAAAACCTAAGTCTGCGCTTTCCGCCTTCGCGCAAAGAAGCCAAGCAAAAACTCCAAATTGTGTGGAATGGTAATATATTAGAACACACAACCAACCTATATATCTTGGAGTACCTCTGGACCGGTCCCTCGCCTACAGACAACATTGCATAAAAACGAGAGGGAAAGTAACAACAAGGAACAGCATACTCAGAAAGCTAAGGGGAAGTAAATGGGGCGCACGTCCTGGCGTTGGAAGTTTAATGTTTGATTATTTTGATTCTGTTGCTTTTCCATTTATTTATGTTTTTGATCGCGTTCCTAAGTTCTTGGCTTTTGTATGATACAATTTATTAGTCTTGCGTCTATTATCATTCTTTATTTTTCAGTAGGCCTAGGACACGTCAAAAACCGTTAATAAATACCATGCTCAAAATAACTGTCCGTCAAACATAGCTGACTTTATTATTGTTTATCATTGTTTTCTCGAATTTGCCGATAAATCTTTATTTGAGAATAGTATTGATTAGTTTGTTAGTTGGTTTCTGGCAGAGTTCAAGTGAAATTCGAGAAAATGTATCCGGTTCCGGAGTTCTTTCCTGTCGTGGAAATATTGCATACATTTGCAATGTGTTTTTTGCCTGTTTGTATTATACTCAAAGGAAATTGTTCAGGTAATTTTATATTTGAATATTTAATAAAAGTTAGTACATTTTTTCAAGAAATAATATATTATACACTATAATCTGTCAAGGTATAATTTCTTTTTAACCATACTTTTGAGAAAGCGGAGTAAAATATTAGATATATTGGACTTAAATATTGGATTTTTTTAATATAACTTTACAGAGTAAATAAAAAATGTTTTATTCCATGTTGCGTCACAGGAACTCTTATTTATTACATATTAGATTAATTTTGATACTTGATTAGTTTTTCCATAAAAACAATATCTAATTGGGAAGTAAGAATTTAAACAATAAAAGACAGTGTTTAAAGGAGTTTAATTCTTATTTACTGTTAAACTGGGAATAAGCCACAATTAAAGATAAAAATACGTTTATTGACGTTTCAATTTCCACTTCGGAAATCGTTCTCTAAATATAAACATTAAATTAAACAAATTTTGTTTTTTGTTACATAGTGAAAAATTCTTCTAATAATTTAATTTTATCTGACTCATCTATATTGACAATTCAGACATACATTATGCATTTTAAAGTAGACGACTTTAAAATATTGCCAATACTGTTGAGTTGCGTTCCTGGAACGACTTTACTTATAAGATAGTTCATTCGATTACATGAAATCAACTTTAACTTGAGAATATCCGTCAGAAAAAATCATAGCATGTAATTCGTCTTTAAAAAGACAAACACATGGCATGATGACAGTAAAATTCTCCTGTTAGTGATTCCATAGTAAATTATGAGAGAAAAACCAGGAAAAAAACCTCATAATACTATCCCGACATTGTAAGTATTTGTTCGTGAATTTAGTTTTACCTTCAACAAACATCAAAATTCTGATTTTATATGTTACGTTATTTAAAAAAACATAAATGATGTATCCTCTATATGTTACTGACTTACTAATACTGGTATTTTCTTATTAATAACTTCCTCTTTCAATATTGGTAACCAGATCCTACTACATTCTGCCGAGGAATTTGCGACACAATTGGCCTCATTTAGCATAATTAGAGCCGCTTCTTTGATTTTTCTTTTTTTACTATCCGTTTCTTTTAGGACTACATTTGAATTATTCCATTGAATCCTATGTTCATTATCCCATGCGTGTTTACAGATTTGAGATCTATCAAATTCTCTATTTTTAATATAAGATTGATGTTCACTTATTCTAACATTTAATGGCCTTGATGATTCACCTAAATAAAACTGATCGCATTCACAAGGTATTTTATAAATGCAATTCTTTGTCGTTTCTTGTTCATTGTTAGGTTTGATTTTGGACAAAATAGATCTCAACGTGTTTGTTGTTTTGAATGTTGTTGAAATGTTGAATTTATTTCCTATCCTTTTAAGTTTTTCTGATAATCCTTTTATGTACGGTATTGTTATTTTCCTCATATTATTCCTTGTGTATGCTGTAGGATCTTGTTCTAAGTTGTTCTGTTCTATTCGATCGATTGTTGAAAATTCCTTATTTATAAACGATAAAGGATAATCATTTTTTAATAAAACAGATGTTAACAAATGTTTCTCCTCCAAGAACGAATTTTCGTTAGAACAAGTAATTTTGGCTCTATCGTTTATGTTTTTTTAAATAACGTAACATATAAAATCAGAATTTTGATGTTTGTTGAAGGTAAACTAAATTCACGAACAAATACTTACAATGTCGGGATAGTATTATGAGGTTTTTTTCCTGGTTTTTTCCCTCATAATTTACTATGGAATCACTAACAGGAGAATTTTACTGTCATCATGTCATGTGTTTGTCTTTTTAAAGACGAATTACATGCTATGATTTTTTCTGACAGATATTCTCAAGTTAAAGTTGATTTCATGTAATCGAATGAACTATCTTATAAGTAAAGTCGTTCCAGGAGCGCAACTCAACAATATTGGCAATATCATTTTAAAGTCATCTACTTTAAAATGCATAATGTATGTCTGAATTGTCAATATAAATGAGTCAGATAAAATTAAATTATTAGAAGAATTTTTCACTATGTAACAAAAAACAAAATTTGTTTAATTTACTGTTTGTATTTTGAGAACGATTTCCGAAGTGGAAATTGAAACGTCAATAAACGTATTTTTATCTTTAATTGTGGCTTATTCCCAGTTTAACAGTAAATAATTTACAATGCCACAAGAAAATAGCTTCAGAACAATATTAAGTTTAATTCTTGTAAATACGCTTTTAATTTTACTCGTCTTCTTCACTTTCGTTAGTAAATATTGATAAAATTGGAGTTCGATCTACCAAAACTTCATTCGTTGGAAGACTATGGCACCATGCCCAGATTTCCTCCTGAATGGCACGACTACGGAACAAACGCAGCAAGTTTTTTTTGTGACACTTATTGGCAACATTCCTGTATATGGCTTAACTAGCTTAAGGCTAGCAGTACCTTTTGGTCATTTAGGGCCATAAACAATATGTTTTTGTATTTTGCACTGTGGTAATATTTGAAAAAAATATAGCCAGTAAACTTTTTTTAAATTTCAGGCATTTTATTCGGAGCTGGGAAGCAGTGTCACCATTTTTCATCTTTGTTTTCTCATCTCTTTCATCGCCTTCACCGTGTATGATGTACTTTCATTGCGGTCAGACCTGGCAATAAGAAATATTTTTTTACTGGTGCATTATAAACACATCCTAATTTTTTTGGATGTGTTTTATTACTAAAATAGGATTGTACAGGTACTGTGCCTATTTCGGAGCTGCCTATTGTACGATGAAGCTTCTTTCACCAATAGAAGTAGCCGTTATTTTCTGTTGATGGCTCATACATTGTTAAATTATATACATTTAGTTTCCCACTATAATAGAAGCTAGACATCTATAAATGGGAAAGTTACAAAAATTTTTTAAAAGTTAAAAGTATCTGATTGGGAGCTGTCATCAGATAATGGTTTTTTTGTTAGCTTCTTTTGCATTATACATTTTTTTTCTCGATAAATGCGATGAAATATTACAGTTCTTGGGATTTGATAACAATCATTTTTACATTCGGAACGTAACTATTTAGAAATATTAACCTTCCAATCGAGCGGATCAGATTTATTAGACCGTTCGCTTTTATTTTCTACAACATCCCCATCGGATCATTTCTCACTATATTGACTTGCTTCATAGTCGCCATATTTAAGTTTATATACCCCACTTACCTGTCTACAAGCTTACATCGGTCAAACTGGTGGAACTTTTAACAAAAGTATAACAAAATATAAAAGGGCTTTTAATAATAGAAAAACAGATTCTATATACCTCATAAGAAGCACTTCACGTTCTAGATTATAATCATTCTATTAATGACGAATTTTAAATTCTTTACATAAAAAATAAAGGCCTCAAGCTAATTTGGAATGTTAAAGTTAAAGACATAAGTGGGTAGTACACAAAAAGTGTAAACACATATCAAAAGTAGATTACTTGAAAAAGGCACTCTGCCGAAACAGCTGTAGTGATAATAGTATATTACTTTATGAGGCGGAGAAGCATGACTTTTCTTGACGCGCCCGATATTACGCGCCGAACGAAGTGAGGGGCGTAAAAGAGGGCAAGTCAAGAAAAGTCGCTTCTTTGCCGTATAAAGTATACTATTTTTTCTTCAAACGTAGCAATTTTCAACCATAAATAGTACAATTCATAAGCTATTTTTACTCGAAATTAACTGTGACAACTATCAAAGTCGCCTAGATGTTAGAAATTAAAATAATTAAGTCATCGGTGGGATTTACGTCTCCCTGGTTACAGTTGTTTGACAGTTGTTTGCAATTATTAAAAACAGCTTATTGTTGTTGCAACCGCAAGCGCAAATTTAGTGCGAAAATGGAAAACCTAAACGAAATTGTGTCCGCGGCTAATGAAGCAGTCATGTAAAAAGCTAAACTGTATAAAAAGTATGCATAACTGCGGCCTGAAAATTTCACAGAAAACCGATTTTTTATCAGGTAGCAAAATGGAAAGTGTTACCGAAGCGTCATGGGAATACATTCGATCAGCGCAGTAGCCCAAAAAGTAGCTAGTTATTTAAATTTAAACGATGCAAGCGCATACACGGGTCACTCTTTACGACGAATTTCAGCAACACTTTTAATTGATGGAGGCGGAAATCTAGAATGCCTCAAACGACATGGGGGCTGGAAATCAAGCACGGTTGCCGAAGGATATATTGAGGATTCAATAAGAAATAAAAACGATAATGCTCAAAAAATTTTAAACCCTCATGATTCGCCAACATCGGGAATGATTGCTGAAAGTTGTTCTCGACCATCAGTATCATCAACAATTACCAATGCGTATCAAGGAACATTTTTGCACGGTTACAATTTTGAAAATGCCTCATTAACTAATTGTACTTTTAATATTACTATAAACAAAAATGATGTTTAATTGTTGTTAATGACATTTGTATTGTTGCTTTGTGACATGTTTCATATTGTTGCCATGACAACATTTTTCCCTTTGCCGTAAAGAAATGGGAAAAAAACTGCTGCCGGCGGAGACATCAAACTTTGACAGAATCAAGTTAGATAAGTAATGTCATCATTATTTGACGTTTGAAGAAAAAATATTATAATAAATTTTGTATATGTCTTGAAAATGTTTTATTGGTATATAAAATGAATTTCCATCAAGTAACGCTCAAATCCATAACTTTTTAAAAGTTTAGAATCATTTTTATCAATCACAAAGTTTTGTATGTCAATGATGTCGATAAATTTTTTTAAATTTCAGATGTGTCTGGCAAAACACAGCTACTGCAAGCAATGGTGGTCATCACTAGGTATGTACATCCCTACGCTATAGAAGGCTATGCCGATTGGACGTCAATGACCAAAGGAATGCAAATGACGGCAACAATATTTACTGTATTTATAATTTTTGTGGTTATGGATAGCTATGACATTAAATCCGATATTTTCACGGCAGAACTGTTGGTATTTACAGCGATGTATTTGGCTCTTCTCTTTCCTATAAAAATGGATTCGTATTGGGTAAGTCTGTTTCTTTTTCGTTTTGGAACTTGTCATCAAACTTTCAGTCACGTAAGTAATACATAACTGTTTGGACTTAATCCAATCTTGCTACAACGCTCCTACCTCTTTCCCCTCGCTGCAACACTGCGCTGTCTCTCTCTTACGTTTCAACTGCCGAATGAAGCAGCCACACTAGTGAATGATCCGTTCACGTATCATTTACTGTAAGTTATAATATTTCTTATACAAAATTACAGAGCAAAAAAAGAACTATTTAAAAATAAACTGTTTATAATTGTAATTCATTTCTACTAAGTAAGGGCAGCTTATTTATTCCATACAACAAAAATAACCACCACTTAATGAAAATACACCAAAGGTCGCAGGAATAATCTGAAGTAATTGTACCTAATTACTTGTACCCAGCCCAAAATCCTCAGGGAGTGGTTTGCTTGCACTTCCATACAATTGTTCCGAGCGGCAGCCTCCAGGGTCAAAATTGCCATGATGATAGCCAACCTTCGTAGCGGAGATGGCACGTGAAGAAGAAGAAGAAGCCCAAAATATGTATTCAGCTACACTTTTAAGGTGTTAGAGAGAAGACATGCCAATCCACATAATCTTAAGTGTTATAGAGAGAAAACATGTTTAAGGCAATTTTTTGTAACACATAATAATTATATCTCCTTTGATCTTCTTCTTCTTCTTTTTTTATATAGACATAACTGTCTGTTTTTCAATGTACCTACAGTAAGTTTTCAATCCATCTTTTTCGTGGTCTTCCTACTGATCGTCTTCCTAGTGGGGAACATTCTCTTGCCGTCTTTACTACTCTATTTGTTGTCATTCGGCTTATATGATCGTTCCATTCTACTCTTCTATTTCTTACCCAGTTATTGATGTTCTCCACCTTGCATCTCTTCTTCTTCATGTGCCTTGTCCGTTCCGAACGTTGGTAATCAATACGGCTATTCTGACTTTGTTTACGGCAGATCTGAATAGTTCAGCAGATGACAATCCGAACCATTGCCGCAAGTTTTGGAGCCACGAGTGTCTTCTCCTCCCTGGACCCCTTCTGCGTCTATTTTCCCATGAACGATCAGCTGTAGTACTCTATATTTATTATGTCTTATAACGTGACCCAAGTATTCCAACTTTTTTTTCTTTATACTTATTCCTATCTCTCTCTCTTTATCTATCCGGCGTAGTACCTCTTCGTTGGTCATGTGCTCAGTCCAGGATATACGTAATATACGTCGGTAAGCCCACATTTCGAAGACCTCTACTTTTTTTATCAATGTTGCGGTCATTGTCCACGCCTCCATTCCATATAACAAAACCGGGAATACATAACATTTCAGAAGTCGAATTTTGAGAGGTAGGGTGAGGCTTTTAGAGGTGAAAATTTGCTTCATGTTAGTGAACGATGCTCTTGCCTTTTCTACTCTTATACGTATTTCCTTCGCTTGATCCCAATGTGAGTTAACTGTTGTTCCCAAGTAGATGTACGAATCCACGTGTTCAATTCTTTTCATTGTCTAATATCAGTTGCTGTGGTGGTTGTTGGGTTTTGCTTACTAACATCCATTTGGTTTTTGTGATATTTAGTCTGAGTCCGTATTGTGCACTTGTTTTTTGTATCTTACTCATTAGGCAACTCAGTTCCTCCATGATACTTGCTAGAATCACAATGTCATCAGCATACCTTATGTTATTAATTATTTCTCCATTTATCTTTATGCTTTCTGTGCTTTCCTCCAGCGCTGTCTTAAATACTTAATCTGAGTATATATTAAAGAGAATTGGAGACACGATACAGCCCTGTAGTACCCCTTTCTTGATCTCAATTTTATTGGTCAATGTAGATCCTACTTTCATTTTAGCTGTGTGACCCCAATAGAGACTAGCTATTGTTCGAATGTCTCTGTGGTCGACTCCGATCTTATGGAGAACTTCAATTATCTTTTCGTGCTTTATGTTATCGAATGCTTTTGCGTAGTCTATAAAGCATATGTACACGTCTTTGTTTATATCTCTGCAGCGCTGGATGAGTACCTGTAAACTAAAAAGTGCTTCTCTTGTCCCAAGAGAATTCCGAAACCCAAACTGCGAATCTCCAATGTTATCCTCGCATTTTTTTGCTTATTCTATTGTAAATAACCTTGGTGTATGCCTTCGAAATGTGGTTAATTAGACTTATCATCCGATGTTGATCACAAGACTTTGCTTTTGGTTTTTTTCGGTATGGCAACAATAGTTGACTCTAGCCAGTCTTCAGGAAACTCCCCGCTGTTATAAATATTGTTAAAGAGTCTGACGAGTGAGTCTAGAAATTGACTGTTTGTTTCGCACAGCATTTTCAATACTTCCCCGTATACGTTATCGTTGCCTGGTCTTTTGTTATTTTTAAGACCCTTTATAGCATTCTCGACTTCTGATTTTAGAATAGAAGGGCCAGTATCATCATTGCTCAGTGTACACCCACTAGGACGGTTATCATTAAACAGTTGTTCCACATAAGTTTCTCAGATTCTAACTAGTTTGTCGGGGTCTAGTTGTAGATTTCCCTGATCATCGCACAGCCCTTTCGATAAAATATTGTAGCTTTTCTTTGTTGTGAGTTCCTTTATCTTCTTATGCATATTGTGATAGTCGTATACCTTTTCGCACTGTTCGATTTCTTCGCATCTTTCCGAGAACCATTTCTCTTTAGTTTTTCTTATCTTAGCTCTTATTCGTCTATGGGTTTCACGGTATTTGGCAGTATCTTTAGTTTTATATATCCGTCTCTCTTCCATCATGTCAAGGATTTCTGCAATCATCCAGTCTTTCTTTTTTCTCTTATCAGGTAGTAAAAACTTCTATCTGTACTTCTAGCTCTGTCCCATAGCGTCTTACCATCAATTTTTCTGTGTTATCATCTCTGCTGTTTGTGTATGTCATTATTAGTCTGATGACTGTTTTGTAAATTCTGCCTTTCGTTTCTTTCCCGATATTTTTATTTCTCCATATTGTTTCATTTAGGCAGCTTGCGGCTCTGTTTGCTCTATTTACTTGATCTTCCACTTCGGTTTCGAGCTTTCTGTAGCTAGATAATGTGATGTCTAAATATTTAAACTCCATCACTTGTTCTATTATCTGACCTTCCAGCTCCGATTTACATTATAGGAAATTTGCTGTTGTAACTATGTATTTTGTCTTTATTGGGGAAAATAACATGCTAAATTGGTGCAGCGTACGTTGTAAATCATCTTCACTTTGAGAGAGTAGTATTGCGTCGTCTACATAGCAGATTATTTTAAGTTGTTTTTATCCCATTTGGTATCATTTATTAATTCTTACTTTTTTTATTATTTCATCCATAATCAGGTTGAACAATAGAGGACTCAGAAATCTCCCTGTCTTATCCCATTGCCAGCTTCAATAGGGTCGGTTAGTTATTCTTCTACTTTTACTTTTATTGTGTTGTTTTGGTAGATATTTTCGATTGTTTTGATTATTACTAGAGGTATCTCTCTTGCATACAGTAAGGTCTTTTAATTTGACCCGGTCAAATGCCTTTGTAAGATCCACGAAACATAGGTATGCCGGTTTGTTGTATTTTTATGATTTCTCTATCTCCCTTGATATGAATATAAATTAAAAGCAGATATATAAGGTAGGTTCTTAGCCCAATTTTCACAAAAACGATAAGTTTTTGACAACAGCTTTAAAGATTCTGTGAACTGTGACTTAAAGGACTACCTACACATATTATTATATTATATTATACAGATCATTTTCATTTTTTTCAAAGCATACGGAAATATTTTATGTCATTATATTTGTTAGTCATAGATGATATTCCAAACATTAGCAAAAATGTGATTCTAAAATTGGGACACGAATATGTAATAAGAATTTATTACAAGTCAGTAATGAAAATATAAACTTGGTGTAATATTTATTTTTAATCGGTTACTAATATTGATTACATAGTAGAAATCTTGTTTAAAATCAATTTCACAAATATTTTATTAGCAATTCCTTGAAAAAATAATTATTTCGAGTAAACATAATCATAGATGAAAAGCAATATAATTTATACTAGAAGTATAATTACTAATTATAATTACTTCCTTCTGTTATAAGCCGAGTGGTTCCAGTTTTTCTTATTATTTTCAGATCTTCTTCTTCTTCCTTTGCCCTATCCGTTTCGGACGTTGGCTATTAACAAGGCTATTTTCACTTTGTTTACGGCACCTCTGAACAGTTCGGTCGATGTTAGTCCGAACCATTGTCGCAGGTTATGCATCCATGAGTGTCGTCTTCTTCCCGGTTTCCTCCTACTGTCGATTCTTCCTTGGACTATTAACTGTAGCAGCCGGTACTTAATATGCCTCATGACATGTCCGAAGTACTCAAGCTTCCGTTTCTTTACGGTGAAGATTATTTCTTTGCTTTTGCCTATTCTCTGCATTACTTCCACGTTAGTGATGTGGTCTGTCCAGGATATCCGAAGAATACGGCGATATATCCACAGCTCAAAGGATTCTAGTTTCTTCAGGGTGGCTTCCGTTGTGGTCTATGCCTCTGCTTCATAGAACAAGACCGGGAAGACATAACACTTGACCAGTCTTAATATTCGTTCCACTGAGATTTTGCTTGTGAACCACTTTTTCATATTGTTGAACGCGTTTCGCGCTTTTTCAATTCGTGATCTTATTTCTGTTGACTGGTCCCATTTTGTGTTGACTGTGGTTCCAATGTATGTGTATGTCTCTATTTGTTTTATTTTTCGGTTGTTTAATGTCAATTGCATCGGAGGTTGTTGTGTTCTGCTGATGAGCATGCATTTAGTTTTGGTTGTATTGAGTTCTAAACCATATTCTTGACTTGCTGTGTGTATGCTTTGCATGAGTCTTTGAAGCTCGTTGCAGTCATTTGCGATAATAACTGTGTCGTCAGCATATCTAATATTATTGATTACCTCTCCGTTTACTTTGATACCCTCCGAAACTTCTCCCAGTGCTTCTCTG